GTTAAGATTCCTAGTATTAAGGTGAAGCGATGCGCAAGAAGTTGAAAAAAAGTGCGTCAGACGAAGGTGCTGTCCGTGACGTTCGTTCGCAAAGGTATAAAGTCGAATGGTCTCTCTGTTTGTTGCTTTGTGGGCCTGTCTCATGCAAACTGGGTCGAGTTTCTTGTCCAGAAGATCAAAGTCTGCAAAAGACAGAAGGACCCCAGAGAAGAAAAGAGAAGGTAGAATGTTTTGCTGTGAAGTCTGATCGACCGAGAGGGAGACTATGCCAAGCGAACAACAACATGATGTGCTTCATTACAAATGTGCGTGCTGTTAGTTTGCGTTATCTGCCCAACAGATGGCCAGGACTATGCGGACGGCAGACAACGCACTAATTCACGACGAGGTTGGTTTCTCATGAAGAAATTGGGCAGTCGTAGTGTGGTAGTGTCATGGAAAAGGCCTTACCTGTTTAAAATTCTGTTTCTATTGTCACCACTAGCAAGCATTAGCGGGGGACCTCACTGCTGTTGCAAGACCGCTTCTGCCGCTTTTTTCTCTTTCTCTGTCTATCATTTCTTTAATAGCGCTACCTCTGCATTTTTACGATTCGCTCCATGGTTCAGACAGGACTACGCTGCAAGGACCATTTTCTCGAGGACTCTGGCACCCGATCTAGGTATAGAGTAGGTCGCCATCGGCGTGGCCCTGCCAGTTCAAGAGGGCCCCGCTGGCTTGCGGCTGCGCAAGCTTGTAAGGATCTGTTTGGGGAACCGAGCCACTGAGGGTTTGAAAGTTGGAGTAAAGGAACTAGGTGAATAATTCTACGTCTTAACACCCACCTCAAGAAGGCTGGTCTGCCTGCCGTATTGTCGCTCTAACTACACAAACCTGTAGCTGCTTCCATGGCGTTGACCAGAGAAACAAGTGGGCGGCTGCAGCGCGACGATGTAACAGAGCCTTGTTTTCAGTTGTTGGCCAACTTCCTTGTAGGCAGAGCACTTTGCCTAAGATTTTTCTAATCAAATTGGAAAAGGAGAAAAGCTGTTGACACATGAATCAGTCTTGCTTAGGAAGGTAAGGTCCAATCGTGAGTGCAAACTCTGCTGTTCTCGCGATAGTGATGAGCGATGCTGCCGAGTAACTATGGCCGACGGCACTCATGGTCGCAGAAGCTCTAGCTAGCTTATTAACTGATAACTGGAAGCGAGAAGACACAAGAGCTTGTGAGGCGCGTGGCGGAGCAAGAGGAACCGAGTACTGCAAAGAGTAAAATTACGTGTGACACACTTGAAAGGGAATCTGTGATCACACCAGCTGTGGCCATTGCAGTAGTGCCATACATTCGGTGGCTGCATTACTCTAGGCCAGAATTTGCCCCCACATCAGATGATCGTCACTCGTTTTTAATAGCAATCGTAAGCTACACTATTTCTTTCGGTTCTCTCTTTTCTTTGCCTCCCCTTTTTCATAAATGACATGGCAGTAGCAATACCGCGCACAAAAAAGGTGCGGACAAAAACAACAAGGTGATGGATGCTGCTGGCACTTATGATTAATACAATCCTGATGATGGTAATATTTGCATAATTTCGTTGCTGGCCCCGCTCATTTCCTATGATTTACCTTCGTCGGCCGCAGCTACCGTCGTCGCTGTCGACAGCTTTACCATGTTTTACTCACATAGATATCTATTTGCGGGTCTGCGCTTGATTTGGGGATGAAAATAGGGGGACGTAGCAACGGCGGCGGTAGCAGTGATTATCGTATGTCTGTTTTTGTCCAAAGGGCAGGATCTGTGGGGACCAGGTTTGCCTGTGTACGGTAAAACTTGTACTGCTTGCTTTCTGAGACTTACATTCACGCACACAGGTAAACTGCTATGTAAGAGGGTTACCTTTCGAATATGTACGACACACGAGAAGTCTGTCTGTACTTGAAGATGAGAGATACGTGGTAGGACTGACATAAAATGGTAGATGTTTGTACTGCACTGCACAGGAATGGCCATGTTCCACATACCTACTGCGAATGTCTTCTTCACGCGGCCTCCTTTTTCGCAGTTCTAGCTGCGATTTAGCAGCTAAGCGGAAAGCTTCAGCTTCAACTTGCAAACCGACTACGAACCGCGCTAACTGCAGCTCTCGAAAAGGGAATTTAGTATCCGGATCGAGCGTCGTTCGCAGAGTCGAGGGTCAGGACTCGCTAGCTAGCTAGCTAGCTAGCTGGCTGGCTGACTAGTGGTCTGTAGCAAATAGCGACTGTCTACTGCGTGCATGGGGTTTTTACTAACGACAACCCACAAAACATTCGCAGAAACGAGAACGCTGTACGAGGGATGCAGGAGTATGGCAGAGGGAACAAGATATTGAAAGAAGCAACAGGATAGATACGAGTGCGGGCCGCAGAAACAGCGAACACTGAGCGTGCGTTTGTGAGTATTCGTCTATGTTGTCATTGCTCTGTGCGCGTGTGTTTGGATGTGCGAGGTGAGTCGGCAATGATCGGCCGCGACGGTGGTCGGTTGGGTCGCCGGTTTTAGTTCCTCATTGGGGGTGATGGGATCCCCAACTATGGGTGATGGGGAAGAGGAGAAGGAGGGTAAGGGGAAGAGAGAATCAGAAATGGGGAGGCCGAGAGAAGAGATTCGACAACCAGATAGGAGATAAAGGAGGAGCCTAGGAACCGTAGAGTAACGGGTAATCAGTAATTCTATCCGACGGATCCGATATGGGCTTATCTCATTGCTGCTGCGTAGTATGAGCTTTGAGAAGGGCCGAGGGGGACGCTGCAGAAATAGCGGCTTCTTTCCTGGCCACTTTTATCGTATCCTCCATAGCAGGCAAAAGCTGGGCTGAGCTGAAATTGTTGAGCTGAGCCCTGTTCCTCACTCTGTCCTGCGTTGCAGGAAAAGCTAGTTTCTTACTTCCCATTTCGAATTCGCTGTTGCTGCTGCAGCCACTGCTCGCCAATCCTGTTGTTTCAAGACGATGAGCAGTATGCGGACTTGGTATTAGCACTACTGCTACTGAAAAGGGAAAGTCGGAGCGCCATCGACCTATTACTTCCACCGTCCTGGTTGCACTGGCTGTTGTAGCTGCTTGCGGAGTCTAGTAAGATAGGTCTTCATGATGGAGCATTATGGCGCACGAGTCGCTCAAGGATGGGGGCAAAAAGCGACTAGGCCGTGAAAGAAGAGTAGAGCGCAGTGACAGCAAGGTGAAATAGCTTTTCCAAATGATTCCTTAGCCTGCTTACCAACTTGTTCACATCACTGTTACCCCACTTCAATTGTTAAAGTATTGATGCTTCATTTCATTATTACACGGTTCGTTTTCTGTCTTGCTCGCTAAATCTTGTCATAGAATTCGTATGTGTTTTTCTCCGAGTAGTCTTTCAAACAACGTGGGCAGCGTTCTCTTTGTGAATTACCAACAGCGCGCCAAACCATTGTTGTCCCTATGATGTTGATATATATGCGCTACACGTTGCTTAAGGTGCAGCCACGCGATCGGAAGCACTGGCAAGTCTTTACCACATTTCTTTCCCAATCGTTTCACAGCTGCATTCCCTACTTTCCATGAGCGCATATAGTGGGAATGAGATACGGTGGTACGAAGAAAAGGGGCATTTGCGTTCAGCTGGGCAACCCCAAAGAAGCCCAGGCAGTAGCATCAGCAGCAGCAATGACAGGAAAAAATCGTCCTGTGCTTCTACTCCGCCTAGAGATAGATTGAGAAAGAATCATATTTTAGTCTCGGAGGCGGCCATACATATATGAGGCAGGGGAATGGGTGGAACGGAGGTGCTCGATGTCGGTTATTGATATCCATTTGAAGGAAAAGGAGTAATAGAGGTTAGGAGCTCATTTACATCGCGGGATTGCAGAGGAAAAGGCGTCGCCGTTCACTTTAAGTACCCCTGCTAGATGGCTACATAAATACAGACGCCGTCGACTAGAGTATCGGCAGCTAAAACCATCTACCGATGATTGTCAACCATTAGTTCTACTATTAGAACCGAAAGTTCTATCTTGTTCATGTGGTATAATGTAGAGGCAGTGAGTTCATATATGTGGAATGAAAAAGGCAAAAACAACAGATGCAATACGTAAAGTAGCGTTAACATCGTATAGTATTTTTCCTTAATTATTTAGCACTTTAATATTATTATTTTTTTCCGAATAAGTCCTCAAGGTTACTTCTTTTTAGGTATAGTATCAACGTCTTGTTGTCTAACCGTAAAAGGTCACCATGAACTGATCTGGGTTTCTCTAAGAGACCTATAAAAGATCGTGTTATTTTCCCCCCATTTTTTTTGCATTCCTTATCTCCCTGATGCTTAGTGTCTGCTGATAATTTTTGTTAACGCTTAGATTTGAACCAGCGTAACAGTATACTCGCTAGTTATGGTTACCATAACAACACATCGAAACAGATTCGCATCAACCACTCGGACTACGCCGCTCTTATAAGATAGCCCTACGAAATTGTCACAATGGTTTAGCTGTCAGTCAATAGGCCTAGCGGTCCCAAAACACTGTTGCACGTAAAGGCGTATACAGTCTGTGCCAAGTGGCACAAAGAAGGAGAATCGTTGGTGTCGTTTCCACTGCTCTCCTTGGTCATTAATGTGGCTGCTTAAGGTTAATAGCGGTAAAGCCGCCTAAAAATTGTAATTGCCTAATTATTCGAGTCAAATTTTCCGCTCCTCGAAACATGTTCTCGTTCATTCACCGATACATTATATAACTGCGGGGATTGTCTTCGTTTTTAAATATTTTAGGGTTTATTTTTTAAGTTGTACCTAGACAACATAGCTTGCGTGCCCTGCAGCTTACCTTCAGTGAAATTACGGTGCAGTTGCGTAGGTGCTAAAGCAGGTGGTCTGCACAAAATTTATTCCGAAAGAAATTTTGTGCAGACCACCTTCTTAAAGAAGTTATTCGATATAATAGTGTTAAAAATACAAACTTGCCAAAACAACTAATACCATACGTTGATTGATTCTTTTTTTAGCTGTCCAATGAATTTATAGTGGATTTGCTGGGCGCGTCCTCGGCCTCGGAGCGGGTCTGACCGACCGAGCGAAACCGCCATGCTATTCCGCACCCGCCAAACAGAATCAGGCCCGAAGGGCGCCAACGCCATGTTGGCAAGCGTGTGTCGGAGAACGCATCGCCCTGTGAAGACAGCATCAGCCATCATCTTCGCCGTCTTCGCTGCAGCTCTCATCAGCCCCGTTAGCTCGGAAGGAATCAAGAAAAGAGGTAATATTATATTAAACTAATCATAAAAAAAAATAGTTCTCTTGTAGACGAGAACGTTTCAGTGTCAGATTTAGTGGCTACAGACACGAGGCATAAGGCGATGGGGCACCGTTGGATGTAATCTGTTATATCTCTCTTATGTTATACTTTCGTAATAGAGGGGCTGCTATACATGCAATTTACTGCAACATTAGTAGATTTTAAAAAATGAAAATAACCCAGCGGTGCAAAAGAAGTATACTTCGCAAGCTATAATTGACACTGGCCATATATCTAACTCATATTGTATAGGAAATCCAACGATGGGTAATCCTTTAAAGCAATCACGGTTACTTAAATTATACGGGTGACGGTCGAGCGTCGGTGCCTGTACACAACTCAGAAATCGCTAATTTCTTCTAACGATACTTCCGCAACAAATAGGCTTTTCATGCTCGTGGCAGGAAACTTTCTGTTGCGTAAAGTAAATCTCGGTAAAAGCTGAAAAAAACACTCAGCCGATCTTGATGCTTCCTTATCTCTTCGAGATGCTAAAAACAAACGCAACATTTATCGGTCTTGGCTGATCCACTTCGTGTGATTCTGAATATTGGGTCTCTGTTGACCATCTATCATGTAAGCGACATTTTCAGGCCAAAGGTGATGGTAGGAAACTACAAGATACTATGATTTTTTAGGCTGAAAACACAACCAGACTTCCCAGGAAGTGACATTTTTTTTTTTAGAATAATTGTTAATAAAAATTAAATGACAATTGTTCGTCACGCACCTGGCATTTTTACCTTACGCTTTATAATACACACGTCAATCAAACTAAGTAAGTATACTCCTGGCGACACTTGTATGTATGTACTTAAATTTAAATTTATTATATTGTATGTGCTGGTTTTGTGCGTATGGCCATCCATCTGGAGCTATGCATAAATAATATGGTATTAGGTAGAGTTATGTTCGGGGAGTAAGCGTTATTATATATGAAGCTCGTTTTCGTCATCGTCGTTCGTTCATAACAGAGAGGCGTGTGTTATGGTGTGCTGAGGCTGACGATGGTGACGTTTTAGCCCTATTACTGCTGTAATGCTAAAGAAAGACGTCACGTATTTGCGTAGCCGCAGCTCATCTTGTGTCGGTCGGATGTTGCATGATCCGCGTATACAAACCGTACGCCGCGGCCACTAGTTGCTGGTTTACTGTATCGCAACCGAAGCCATAAACGCGAATTGTGATACTGTAGGCTGGTAGCGACAAATGGTCGTGTGAACTGTCCCGTAATGAGCGTTAACAAGTATCCCGTCTCACGATACTACCTCGGCTAGTTGCATCGCCTATACGTTCCAACCTATTTCTTTGCGCTAGAAGTTAAGTGGAAATTAAAGACAAAGAACTACTAGCGCCACGTTTTTTGACATGAGGTGTCGGCTTGGTATTCATTGCTGCTTTTACGTAGCGGGGTGCTCCGGGAAGGTCCGCGTAGGGCTAGCAATCTTCACGGTCCACAGTTAATAACTTCCCAGTAGTGATAGCATAACGGGCAGGCTGGCCGACTTTTGCTAGAGAAAGAACCAGCACACAATGCAGCTTATAGCCATTGCAGTATATATGTATGTTCGAGCATATATACGTATTTATATATATAGGTGGTTAGTTTGTCTTTGGGGTGGCTGACTGGTCCCTTGTTTGGCCGCATAGTCCACCACTTTCTCATTCGTGACTCCCGTTCTTCGCTGCCGCCCAGAACCCCGACGACCCTATGTTGGCTTTGGGTTGTTGTACAAAAATCGGCGGATGGACGGCCCGGGTTGGATACAGTGCTACATAAACCGTGGTGGCTTAGGTGGTCCACGACGTTGCCAAGAGAAGGATAACACGGCGGAGAGAAAACAGAGACGAAGCACAGCCCAGAATGGAAGCAGCAGCAAAAGCAGAAAAAAGGAAAATCTCATTCGCCTCTGTGGATAGTGGTACAGTGGAGCAATGTATTGAGGCAACTGTAGGGGGTTGTAGTAGTGGGTGGGCTGTTTGGATACGCGTAGGGGCCTGCCAAGGAGAGGGATACCAAGAAGCAGCAGGAGCAGGAGGGAAAAAAGGGGCAGAAATCACTTCTATTTATATTTATAAGGGCTAAGACCCTACGGCGATAAGAGCTGGTTGAATCAACGGCTGCTTAGATGGCCGGTAGGCCGACTGGTTGGCTGGTCGGTAGGCCACTCTTGCCACTGTGGCGGACGAAAGAAACGGACCACGTTCTTAGCACGAACAGCAGCAGCACTGGCTGGGCCTAAGGACAACGCAGGATGGCTGATGCTACCGCGTTGACGGGAAGCTGACGACGAGTCGTTAAACAAACACCCGCTGCTCACTCACACCAAGCAGCAGGATCACATACATTCTCAACAGGAGATACCTAGGATGGACCAGGTCAGAATAGGACGGAACGCTCAGAAATGCCAAGCCAGACTACAGCGGGTCGCTACGGCATGGACCTCTACAAGTGGATAACCTGAATAGGTCACACCGCTCACCGAGGTCTTTACTGTCGCCGTCTCCAAGTCGCTGTTGAATAGTGTGTTGATTTGCTCTTCATTTGGGGACCTGCAAGCTCCCGAAGAAGTACCGTCGCGCGGCACGCTTTTCATCAGAAGAAGCTCTCAGCAAGCCAGCCAGCCAGCCAGCCAGCTTGTCCAGAGAGGGATCTTCACTGAACAAGGGGTGGAAAGATAAGTGCACACGGAGAACGAAACCCTGATAGGTGCAAAACCGTTCAGTTGGTTCAGACAGTTCCGGCCGCTGCTGGTGCAACTGCCTTGCCTTAATGCCTGATTGGATGGAAATCAGTAAATATATCGGTTTCAGCTCAGCGGTGCCACTAGAACTTATACTTATACCGAAGCAAACAAAGAGAAAAACGCACATTTGTTATGCTCTTATAGTGTAATAATGTCATTGAGCCTGTGGGTTGGATGATATAATGAACATTCTGAATGCTTCCGGCTTATCATGCTTTCATAAGCCATAGGTAATTGCTTGTTTGCACAAGTTAATCATTGTTAGTAAGAAAGGTAGTGCATTTATTGCTACTGTTCTTTGATATGCGAGCTAGCGAAGCGAACGACACTGACTATAAGGTCCCCTGGGTATGCCTTACCTGCCTGGTGGTATCTAGAGTCGGGTTTCTTCAGAACAAGGGAGGCCTATTGTGCCTTGTAATTGCTGAAACATCCTGATTGTTTGACTTGATGGAAACCACGAGCATCCGATAACAAAAGTATAAGGCTATTTGTGTGTGTGTGTGTATATCTAGTGCGGCTCGGATGCTTCACCAGGGCCCAATGTTTCACGCAGTATCTCTTGCTCACTTCTATGTAAAAGACCAAGTAAAAACCTTTTCATATACCGTATGTGAACGTAATCAGCGACTACTCAAATATATTGCCTAGAGCTGAAAAATGAGTAGAGTAAAATAGTAAATTGCTTTTATTTAAAGGCGTTCCGTACGCCGATGAAATCGCAGTATGCCATACGAGCTGATCGCGATTTCTTGTTAATCATCTGCGACTCTAGCCATAGATAAGTATTAGTCTACTTGTACCATGTGGGTAGCCGTAGCAGTAATGTCACCAGCAGCCAGCATGGCAAATGCGTTTAGAAATGGTGTTCGGAGTTCGAAACAATGCCGACGTTACTTCAGATGGCTGACTGAAACCAGAACAAAACGATGGGTCTACTCCACAGTTCAAACCCAAGGTCCACATGGCCTTAAAATTAATCGGTAGGCACGCTGTCACTGCACTATCGTGCGGAAAAAGGTGGCTTTACAGGCTTTTAAGCATTGCATATTTAATTATTCCAACGTTCAAAGAGTGATCTTGGTCGGGTACCTGGCTCGTGTGCCTGTCTACTTGATGATGGGCGGCTATTGAAGTACGTGTATTACACGTCGAGTCGCTGAGATCGTCAGATGTTTATCAAGTCAGTCGTTTAATCAAGTTACGCAGACTCTGCTATTGGCTACGACACTGCTACTACTTCTATCCCGTATAGCATAGCATAATGCTGCTGTTAATGTTGTCGGCAGGTAGGCCTGCCTGTTTCCCTGCCCGGACACCCGCCTACATATCTCAACAAGATGATCGCATAAGTTTGTCGTACTACAATGGGGAACGCGATGCGGAATAATGAGAGCACACAGGAGACTATGCTACGTTCTAGACAGCGGCGACGCGACTATTGATGTTTTCAGCAAATTTTATTTTACAGACACCCAATTCAGCGAACTGGGTGTCACTCTGCACTATAGCTACATAGATATGCGCCAAGAGTAGCGACTGTTAGTGAGATATTCGAGGAAAATGAAGGACAAACAGCAAGAGACAGACATTGCGCGGGAAACAAGCGAACTGGGTTGGGAAAGGTTCATCTGGCGTACAATGAGTATGTTTCTACACAAGCTATTGATTTAGTCAATTCTCAGTTGGAGACTGTTTATAGAGGACTGGAGGGACGCCTTCGATCGTGTGTGTACTTCATCATTCGATTTAACAGCTTAATCTGTTCCGCCATGTTGATTTGTTTTCGAGGTTTTACCAGCTAAATTTATACATGGGTCGAAGTGACGCTGACACGGCGGCAGCAGTAAGCAACAGGCTGAACGAATTGAGTAGTTGCGCAACGATGTTGACAAGATCAGACTCGGCTGTTTGTATGGGCTTGTCAGATGCCCATCGTTGTGAATACGAACTCAGTGAGAGCGTGCAAACTGGATGTTGAGTGTGCGTTTGCTTAGCGTGACCTGTATACTCGTATGAGCTAATGATGTGGTACACGAAACAGTGCGCAAAGGTACTATAAAATTTACACCAATGCGAGCTACCACTGATCATTGGCAGAATTTTTAATTTAGTCAACCTCGTTCCGCCAGGCCGGCATGCTAAAATTTCAAGAGTTATTTGTGGCCGGCACGAGTGACCCTTAACGGTAGCTAGTGAACCTATCCTCTCCCG